ATTGAGAAAATAATTTTTGTCATTCTTCATTACATCATAAAGGTCATACCAACGATTACCAAATGTGAATATCTACTTAGACAATCCCTTGGCCTGTAATAGGAGTCCTGTGGTAGGGGATCAAGCCTTGTTCAGGTAATTTTAGGTCATCTTTATGTCAAAGTTAGGCTAGGTTAGGTGGGAGTGTCACAGGCTCACGTATCCACACACAAAGTTTGAAAAAAATCGCAATTTGTGACCTGTACCGACGACTCTTTACCTTAAGAAAGCATCTTCTCTACTGCTTCAAATATGGAAACAAAATACACAATTTTCAGATACTTAAATATATTGATATTTCTACAAAATCCTGTGTGTTAAGGGGTGGTCACAAGAGCACTTTATCCCCAACAAATGCCCGACAGCGTGTATGGGTTCCTGGAATACTTGGATTCCTGTGTCCATTGGCTGCTTTTCAACACAAAATTATAGCAGACAAAGGTACTCTAAATGAAAGTGTGAAATTTATTGGTTACATATTTTTATTTATATCTATCGCATTCATTAATAACTATTTAGTGATTTTGAATTTTGCACACATTTTTAACCACTTTCAAAACTGATAACCTCAACATTAAATCTTATTTGACTATGGCTGCACTGTAATCTGTTGCATAAATTAGAATGCAACTAAAGAATAGGCTAAACATTCCTTTCTCTTCTTGTTAACCTGCAGTACACCCACATCTGCCTGTTGTTCCATTCCTTGACACACATTTGCAAAATAATGTTAGTGACTCTACAAGATCCATTCATCCTCTAGAAGTGCTTGCCATGTTTGCTCACTGACCTCATGCTCTTATTGCAGAACAAGCAGACTTTTGCGTGTCACTACAATATTTGCTACTGCTAAAAATGTATTTGACCTCTCCTACTAATATCTTCAGTGACTTGCTCATTAGTTGTACTATTGAGAAATGTTAGTTTTAGTCTCAACCCACTGGTCGTAGATAGCATCATATGATGCAAAGTGCAATTGACGCCCAATCCCTTGGAGCATCGGGCGGCCGCACGGCCTGGGAAGTAAGCAGGCTAGAGGATATCAGACACCAAGCCAGTGTCCCTATAGCAGCTTTCCAAGGCCCAGGCCAGCCGGCCCAGGCCTGAGCGGGCATTGGGGTGCTACCCACTAAAGGAGTTGAACGCCTTCGGTGCAAGCTAAAACCAGGCCCTCCACTCTTTCTGAGCGCATTTACGTGTTTGTGTGCTTGCACATATTTGCAAGGGTTTATATATACTTTTGCAAACATATTTTCTCATATACAAACACACATGCGCAAAGGATTTTATAATATATATATATATATATATATATATAATATATTATATTATTATATATATATAATATATAAATATAAATATAAATATATATATATATATATAAATCCTTTGAGTCGGCAATTAGAGTGCTGTAGCAGCAAGTGATTAGCCCTAATTTGGTCTCTTCAGGAAAAATTTACTATGTACCTTATATTCTTAATAGGAATCATTATTGAAAAATGGCAAGGGAGGTCTTTGAGCTAGTTTAGAGGTGTTTTTTGAGAGTGCCAGTAATCATAAAAGCTGCCAAGACAACATGATTCTATGCCCAACTAATTGCTGCCAACATTTTGGTTACCAATCTATGTGAACCATATCTACACATGAAATGCAATTAATTTTGGTCACATCTGTCATGATATGCAGTCCTGTAGCTTTCCTGTAAATGGTCAAGTAAAAAAGAGCACAGAAGGGTTTGCAGCCAATATAATCTTAGGAAAAAATTATATGGAATATCAACTAAAAGGTGGAAAATGATGCAGTGTCACAAATGTTAACCACTCAAATTATGTGTGGATAAACAAATTCATAGTGGCTTAATCATGTAAGAAAGTAGAAACCAGTTATTTCCTTTATCTTTTTCTTTTATCAAATATAGCACTTCTGTGGAAACCAGCATTAAGGAATTTCGTTTATTTGAAAGCCAAGAATTTCTGGTGGCTGGGAGACAAAAAATGCTGAGCTGCATTTTAAAATCAGGCACTTACAAGGAAGTAAAAGCTGCACAAAAAATAAGTTCAAATTCAGAACTGCAATACTACCAATCAAATAAAAATTACACATCTAACTATTATGCTTAACCTTGCCTTTTTTTTTTCCTTTTGAGAGTTCCTTTCTCAAGTATGATTTGGGGTCTAACTTTCCACTAAATAACTTCAGAAAAGGATAAATATATAATTAAATATCAAATCACAATAAAACAGAGCTTTAACAATATAATTCTCCTAAAGAAAACTGATGTAATTAATATTCATATATTCTAAATATTCAACATCTCCATTAATGTAGTCTCAGGAATGAAAAAAATATAAACAATGTTATTTCTTTATTACAGTGTTTATTCAAATAAAGAACTAATACTTTCCACGATGTGTCATTAAACCTAGTTATGCATTAAATAAAATGGAAGAAATGAAGATTGTCTTCTTCCTTTAGAGACTTGCTGCAACAAAAGGTATTGTGTATTGCATTAGAAAAGAAATCAGGTATTTTCTTGCAATATAACCACACATTACAAGTAAAATACATTGTCAGATTGTTTAAGGTTTATCATGCACTTAATTCATTTTAAAATGGCAATGACCAAAAAACTGGACAGGGATCAGATATGGATGTTGCCAACCACATAATTACAAGCCACAAACCTAGGTCTGCTTCTCTGGAAAGTACTAGTGTCTGGGGTGTGAAAGGAAGAGGAAGGAAATGATGGAGGAGAGGAGGTGGGGGAGAGTGGGGGGGGGGAGGAGAGTGGAGGAGGAGGAGGGGGGGAGGGGGGAGGAAAGAGAGTGGAGAGGAGGAGGTGGGGGGAGGGGAGGAAGAGAGTGGAGAGGAGGTGGGGGGGAGGGGGAGGAAGAGAGTGGAGAGGAGGAGGTGGGGGGAGGGGAGGAAGAGAGTGGAGAGGAGGAGGTGGGAGAGGGGGGGAGGAGAGAGTGGAGAGGAGGAGGTGGGGGAGAGGGGGGAGAGAGAGTGGAGAGGAGGTGGGGGGAGGGGGGAGGAAGAGAGTGGAGAGGGAGGGAGGTGGTGGGAGGGGGAGGAAGAGAGTGGAGAGGAGGTGGGGGGAGGGGAGGAGAGAGTGGAGAGGAGTGGGGGGGAGGGGGAGGAAGAGAGTGGAGAGGAGGAGGTGGGGAGGAGAGGGGAGGAGGAGGAGGGGGAGAGAGGGAGAGGGGTGGGGGGGAGGGGGGAAAATGAGGGAAAGGACGGGGGTGGAGGGAGAAATGGAGGGGAAAGGAGGGGGGGAGGGGGAGAAAGAGAGGG